TGGCCCCTCGGACATTTTCACACTCTGGGATAAGGCATCATGGTAAGATTTGGGTGGGGGAGGGGACCAGCTTGCTCTTGCAAAGTGGGAGAAGGATGGATATAGAAAGGAACTCTCAAAAGTCACTTTTCTAGGAAGGAGAACATGTGCACGCTGAGGCTATGGGAACTCCCGAAGGTTCTCTGTGACTGGCTGTAATTTTTGGGAGGTCCTCAAGGGGCTGTAACTGTGCACGTGAGGAGCTTTCTGGTGGCAGGAGGAGTGGAGATGTCACCTGGTTGGGGATGTCCGTTAGCCGCACTCTATCCAGACAGAAGAGTATTTGAGGTCTCAGGCATTCATGATCTGTGTTGCGTCAAGAATAAGCAATATGGGGGCGCCTGGGTGGCTCAGTCGGTTAAGCGTCAGCCTTCAGCTCAGGTCATGATCCCGGGGTCCTGGGATCGAGCCCCACATCGGGCTCCCTGCTCCGCGGGAAGCCTGCTTCTCCCTCTGCCTGCCGCTCCCCCTGTTTGGGCTCTCTCACTGTCTTTGTCACATAAATAAATAAAATGTTTAAAAAAAAGAATAAACAATATGAATATTGAATTACCTTGAACATGTCCTTTTTCATTTTTACCTGTGCTCAATTGGTTTTCTTCTGAATACACTAGAAAATCCTGCTTTTCCAGGATCCTCTGAATCCTGCATTCAGAGATGGACATTTTTTTTCTTCCTGTTGTATTTTTCCTTGAAGGAAGCAGGAATGCATTTTTCTTCTTTCTCCCTCCTCTTTGCTCTTTTTGCTTGTTTCTGCTTTCTGACTATATGTCATAGTTAGTCATAAGGTCCAACAGCTGACTTGAGAGTCCTGTTCACTCAGCTACAATGTTCATGGTCTGTGTGGTACATGGGGTTATTTTTCTCGTGTCCTTAGTGCATGAGAATGCTGGGGTTTTTTAAAAAAGATTCTATTTATTTACTTGACAGAGAGACACAGCGAGAGAGGGAACACAAGCAGGGGGAGGGGCAGAGGGAGAAGCAAGCTTCCCGCGGAGCAGGGAGCCCGATGTGGGGCTCGATCCCAGGACCCTGGGATCACGACCTGGGCCGAAGGCAGACGCTTAACGACTGAGCCACCCAGGCACGCCATGAGAATGGTGTTTTAATTAGTATATAGACTTTATAAAACTCACAGCTTCAGTTGTTATGAGGTTGGCTGTACAATCACGAAATGCACTTTGCAATTATGTCTCCCCTATGCCTTAAATAAAATTTAGCACCTAAATTCCAGGCAGTTGCTTTCCCAAAATTCCCTTGATCACTGGGATCAACCCATAATGAAATGTCTACATCTAGAGTTATCAGAAACTAGATGAAAAAAGGGAGAACAAAGCTCATTATACCGTATTTGTGAGAATTGGGATTTTGCTTTGGATGTAACTAAGAAATGTGTGACTTGCTGAAGTAGTCCATTCGTGTTTCTAACTCTGCTTATTTGTCCTATTTCAGGTTTCATTTCCAGGGGCCATGTGGTACCACTCTTCCTGAAGCCCTTGCTCCTCATGAAACTGAAAATGTCTCTTAGTTGCCCTGGGGAAAGAAGAAATTTAGTATGTCTAAGTACCGGGCCACAAACAGAGGAGAACCAATCATGGGGACGGTGAGCTAAATACTGGAAAGTCTAAAAGTACCCTCCGATTCCCTGGCTGGAATCCCACCTGATGATAAGTGATGGGGGCCTAGAAACAACAATAGCAAATATTCTTAGCAGTGAGAGAACAGTCAAGTTAATGCATCTTATTTTGTGTGTGATATCGGACTTAAACATCCGATATCTTTTATGTGTTTGGTTGGTTGGTTATGGGAAAGGGAAAATTTTATAATTAGGTTATCTTTTAAAAAAGTAATTATCCTGATTGAATTGTTGCGATCTGGACACAGAGAGAAGTAGAGGGGTAAAACCTTGGTATTTCTGATTTTTGCCAAGTTTTGGTGGAAAATAAAATCACTCTCTGCAGTAGGTCATTTATTGTATAAAGATCTTACCCCAAGAGATGTCTTTGTCGGGGGCTTTTCCTGTTCAGCGTTTACCGTGTTTGGCCGCCTTGCCTCACAGTGTGTGGGAGAGCTTACAACAAGAGCTCAGGCAAGGAAGGAAGAGAAAAGTAGCATCAAGATAGAAAATCAAGATGCGGAAAATAAATGATGCAAATATATGGACTCCAAGGATAAACACAGCTGCCTAAAACTGAGCACTGGCCTCCTTAGCAGTCAAGCAGGAAAGGGAGAGGTGATGGTTGACTATTTATCGATATCATAAACACAGAAGCATCACAGTCCCTGCGGGGGCCCCACCAAGCTTTCCCAGACACTGAATTCTGAAATTTGTGGGTTTTGTTTTTTTTTTTTTTCCCATGAACTTTAAAAAAATTATGCTCATATTACCTTGGAATCAAGTAGTAAGAATACGGCTCTCTGCTCAAGCCTCACTACCGAATGCAGCCCCCAGGGCCCTAGGAACGCCTGCTGTCTGGTCTGACTGGGAGGAGTGGCCTTTAGTAAACAGCGCAGGGAGGTCGTACATGTGCAGGTCCCTTGGATCACATCAGCTCCCTGGGTGATTACACCTCTGGGCCACATTGCCTCAGCCCCTTACAAAATTACATTTAATGCTACACCCTTGGCTTTTGTAGAAGCAGGCAAGACACAGTCACATAAAACTTTGTCATAACTTTTAATAAATCCCAAAGGTTCTTTGCAGGGGCAAGAGGGATGTTCATAACTTACAAGGAGTAGGGCTCTTGAGGGCTCGATTCACACTTTGCATGAGTGGGTCGAGGCATGTACACAGAGAGGGCCTGTTATAATGCAGTTTTTCTACCCGAAATACCATCATTCACTGTTAATAGGTCTGTTGGGCTTCTCAATTTAACTTAAATTCATACATTTTCCTAGTGTTAGCAATAATGAAAGTCAACACACTGTTTCAGCGAGTCTGACTGTATTTTTAATCTGTAATTTCCAACTGACCAAGGCCCCGATATTTCATAACTGTTCTTTGTAACTCCTCTCATCCTGGGCCTTTGGTACCAGCAGCTTGTTTTTCTGGTTGGTTTTTGTGTTTTGCCATTTTTGTTCGTGTTTTGGTTTCGTTAGAGAAGATGAAAAATTTGAAAATGCAAACTGTATGTGATATCTAATTCAATTTAATATTTACTGAATGTCTGCCCTATGATAGACATTAGAAATAAAATGATCAGTAAGATATGGACCTTACCCTCAAGGAGGTCACAGAATGGTTGGGACAGCTGTCATGTGAACTATTTTACAGATTGGAAACTACAGTAAAGAAAGCTGTGCAAGATGCAGAGGAGGATGCAATTAGAGATGGGCGGAGTGGGGATGGGTTCAACATTAAGGTGCTTGGAAGCCTTTAGGAGGAAATAGGGGGCAGTTTTTGAAGCATAAATAGTTCCACATGGAGGAGTATCAGCAGAGGAAACAGCATGTACAAACGCACAGCAAATGGGCAACAAGCTTGGTTTGTTCAGAGAGTGATGAGTCATTTCGTGTTGTATAATGGGTGGGAGAAGATAAACACAGAGATCAGGAAGGGCCGTGGATGCCAAGAAATGAAACCTACCTGGGGTTTGGAGGGATAGAAGCAGTACTAGGTTGCATTCACTAAGTAATGGTGAAGTCACTCTTTCACCAGATTCAGGGTTTGCGCTGGACCAGCCACTGTTCAAGTTCCTGGGGTTAGAGCAGGGCACCAGGCCAGGACCCTGCTGTTCTCACAGAGCTTACATCCTAATGCAGGAGTCAGATGATAAGCTGTTGGGGAGTGGTGTCGGTGATGAACAGAGGTGTGGACAGTCCAGGAGCAGGTGGTGAGGGAAGCCTGGGAAATGGTGGCTGAGGTAGCCAAGCACACGTTTGGTGCTGAGCATTCATTTAGGCCTGTATCTGTCAACTGGTTCCTGTCAGTGCCAGAAGGACTGAAAGGCATCACGTCCTGTTGCTACAGCACAGTTCTTCCCTTCGAAGGAGATGCCACTTCTTTGGGGGTGCGGGGAGTGAAGGGAGCCCAATCTGCAAATACTGATTAATTGGATCCAGTGTGGCAATTAGTAAAGGGAAATCTCACTAAAATGGAGTCGGGAGGTTCGGCAGGGGGAGGTCTCACGCTCTACCACTTGTCTTTACCTGCAAATCCAACAGGAAGAGACGGTGGACCTGGTAGGTGAATACCGCCTTATTACCAGACCTGGTAGGTGGATAGGGCTTTATCACCCCAGCGGGAGGAAGAAAGGCTTTCCTCCTCCCCCACCCCGCACCCCGCAACAGCCCAGCCAGTGAGAAGCCAGTGTATTTCTAATCCCCAGTTTACTCCAATGGACTTTTATGACAGCCTCCCCCAGCTTCCCGGCTCCTCTGTAAAAGGGAATCCACTCCTTAGTTTGGGGGACTTGCCTATGGCTTTGCCAACAGCTTGCTTACCCGGCAACTCTCTGCGATTCCTGAGTAAACCCATTTTTTTGCCGGTAAAATAACTGGCAGTTTTACTTTTTAAGGTTAACAGGACCAAGTGGATGGCGGTGCTAGGTAGGGCCACCGGGGCTTGCGGTCCCAGGTTTCTGGGCCCCTGGACGGCACAGCCCGTGGCAGCGGGACTGGAGGGGGGGGGGGGACCCAGGCAACCCTGCTGTCAGCTTCCCAGCGGAGGAGCTCTTACGAGGCTCTCCCCTCCTAGAAGCAAGCCCCATCCCGACCTGCTCTCACTGCGGGAGCTCCGGTCGCTTATTCGGGGCGGGGAGAAATCCAGGTGACGTCCCAGGCGGGGAAACCTCCCACGGGCGAAAAGGAAACACCCACCAACCCACCCCAACGCTCGGCTCCCCTTAGGCCACACCCTCCCCCGCTCTGCGCATGCGCCTCCGCCGTCCCACCGCCGTCTCCGCATCCGCACCTTGCAGGGGGCGGTGCAACTCGCGTCGCTTGCTCTCCACGTCACGCTGCGCTTGCGCGTTGTTTCCGGGTCAGAGGTCAGACGGTCGAGCGCTGCGCGGGTCATGGTGCAGCTCCGGCCGCGCGCGTCCCGCGTCCCGGTCTCGGCGATGGTGGACGAGGGCCAGCCCGCCTCCGAGGAGGAGGAGGAGGCGGCGGAGCACGGCCTGTTGCTCGGGCAGCCCAGCAGCGGCGCGGCCGCGGAGCCGCTGGAGGAAGAAGACGGGGAAGGGGACGACGAGTTTGACGACGAGGCCCCGGAGGAGCTGACTTTCGCCAGCGCCCAGGCGGAAGCACGAGAAGAGGAGCGGCGGGTTCGGGAGTCGGTGCGCAGGTTCGGAGCCCGCCGCCGGCCGGGAGAACCGCCCCTTCCCGTCCCGCGCGTGTCGCCCCTTACTAACTTGTCACTCTTTCAGGGATAAAACGCTCCTGAAGGAGAAGAGGAAGCGACGGGAGGAGCTGTTCATCGAACAAAAGGTTAGAGGGTAGGGAGGCGTCTCCCCTTTAAAACACCGGGCCGGGGTCGAGTTCCCCCGTGTGGTGCCACAGCTGGGGAGCCTGGGGCGGGGGAAAGTCGCTAATATGCCTCTGACAACAGCGAAAACGAAGGCGCTCGAGCTCTTTGCTGTCCAGCGATTGAAAACGGGAGTGGGAAGTGTCGTGAATTCGAGATTCGGAGGGTCCATCCCACTTGGGACAGCTCACCATGACAGCCTAGTCATTTAGTCTCGCGGAGGTAGTTTCTTTATCCGAAGTCGGGTTGCTGTGAGAATTATGAGAGGTGCTTTGTAAACCGCGGGCTGCACTGCCTAGAGTATGATTGCTTTGCTGTCTGACGCTCGGCGGATGGGCCACAGAGAACGGACTCCGGGTGGACGGGACTTGATTGCGCTCAGTGTAGAACTGAGACTTCTGGGTTGGGATACAGTGGGCAGCCTTCCCAGTCGTCACCGAGTGCTTCCCGAGAATGCGGAATAGGTTCTGAGTTTCGTGGGCCCAGTCTTCCCGCAGCTTAGAGGTCGTGGGGGCAGGGCTCAGCCTAATTCTAATTCGTCTAGATTTTAGTAAAGTTGTCCTTAAAATCAGAAACTTCAGAAGCAAGTCGGGGCATACTGTCATGCAGCTCACTGCTGATTAATTTTTAAATGTCTTTAAGAAAAGAAAACTCCTTCCAGATAACATCCTAGAGAAGTTAACTACAGCTGGACAGACTCGGTAAGTAGTGGATCTTTGTTACATACACCTGTCTGTGCCGCACTGGTCCACACGTTTATTTGAATCCACATAATAGAAGTAATAAATGAAAAAGCTACGCAGTAGATACTTGAATTTGGTGGGAAAGGTGGAGGGAATTAACTCGATTTTCAGTCTTTTACCACTTTTTGTTCATTCTTGTAGCGAACTTGAGCTTCTGGCCGTACTGATTCCAGGGTATCGGTCAGTAGATGCTTGTGCTCCTGTCCTTATACCAACGGAGGGTAGATGGTGGTGAATAAGAGTGTCTTGAGACCTGGCGTTTAGTGGAGTAGCAGACACGTGTCTACAGGCTCCTGAAGCTCCTCTTGCCCCACGCTTGCCTTGGCCGCTCCCGCTTCATTCATTTCATTTAGCAGCTTTGCCCTCTGTTGACGGGTAAAGGCAAATGCTGTCCCTCCTCTTCCCCGTCCATTCCGTGCAATCAAACTGTAATTTTAGACTTCTAAATATTGGGTAATTTCTTTATGCCCCCCCTTGCACCTCCTAAATGCTTTATTTATTTATTTTTTTTTAAAGTTTTTATTTGCCAGAGAAGGAGCACAAGCAGGGGGAGTGGCAGGCAGAGGGAGAAGCAGGCTCCCCGCCGAGCAGGGAGCCCGGCGCGGGGCTCAATCCCAGGACCCTGGGACCATGACCTGAGCCCAAGGCAGACGCTTAACTGACTGAGCCACCCAGGCGTCCCTCCTAAATGCTTTAAGTTCAGAAGTTTAGTCCTGTATTTTTTGCCTAGGCCGGTGATTCTTAAATTGTCAGTAAAAGAACTTTTCCAAAGTTACTAAGATCCTGAATATATTATACAGTCAGGTGCATTTGGTGGCATGTCCCCCCTTCCCTCTTTAGAAACCAAGTTCAAATGTCACCACCTCCTTCTCTCGCTCCCCCCGTCCCATCACTTTCTCCTTTGTATAGCTTTTCTGTCAGGTGCTTCTGTATGGGAATCTTCTTGTTGTATTTTGTCAGATTACATTGGTCTCTCCATCCTTTTTGGCCTGAACTGCTGAATTAATCCTTTGTGATTTCTCCAAATACCACCTTTCACCTCGTATTTTGAATAGTTATGTGATTCATTTTTTTCTTGTCTTTCACTTCAGCTCTTAACTACAGCAATCTGTTATTGACGTTTGCTAATGTGCTTTCACAACTTTCTGAAAAGATACTCCATCCTAGTTATATACTAGTTTGGGAATTGGTAGCATTTCCCAACTTTTGCTTTCCAAAGTTGGGACTTTTGCTTTCCAAAACTGATCCTGAGTAAAAACTGAGGTTGGTGGTCATGAAAGGGGGTATATTATTTATAAAGCCCGATGAAATTGTGTAATAAGTGGAGTAATCTTTGCTATCTGCCATACCAATCGGTATTTTTATTGTTCTTCCTTAGCATAAAAAAATCATCAGGAAAGCTGAAAGAAGGTATGATCTATTCTGATTTAAATAACTTCTCATGTTAAGTGTCAGGCACATTTGCAGATATTTGCAGCCAAATGCTACTGGCCCTGAGAGAGTGTAACTTGGATCTGTTTCTTACAAATAAAAATTGCATCGAAATTGGCATGAGTGGATGTTTAAAGTGAACTCCAGTAAATGTTTCTGCTTTATTTTTACATAATTACTAACTTGAAATAAAAATTTTTTAGCTACTTTGCAGAAGAAAAAGGAAGAATATGAAAAAGGAAGTGTTTCTAAGAACGCTAAAGAAAAGGTACAAAAAGTACAGTCTGTCGGGTAAGAGTCTTCTTTTTTTCCACCTAGAAGGTAGAGGTGACCAGAGGGCGTTCAAGTATTGGCTTATGTGGAGAAAGATGTTAATTAGTAGTGGTTTCAGATTAGATCCTCTGTGGGGAAACCAATTCTGATATTTACATAAGAACATTTGCCTACTAAAACATAAATGTGAATCTATTTCTAGTAAAATAAAACAGCCCTGTGATTTAGTTTTATTCATCATCTGTGCATATACAAATTTAGGATTTGGGTTTTTTCACTTTTTGAAGTAAGAAAAATGCTTTTTATTTTCAAAGTAAACACGTTATCAGACTTGCTCATTTTGACCTTTTGTGTTGGTCACCAGCCAGAATAAAAGCTACTGGGCTCTAAGGCTAAAAGATCAAGATCTGAGAGATTCAAGGCAGGAAGCCGCGAAGGCTTTTATACAGAATTCTTTGTATGGTCCAGGAACCAACAGAACTACTGGTAAGTTCTTGACAGACTGTTCTCTCACTTTTTATTGCAAATTAAAGAAATGATAAGTAATTCTCTTTTCTAGTAAATAAGTTCCTGTCTCTTGAAAATAAGAGGTTACCAGTGAAAAAGGCTGCAGCCCAGTTTCTGAATAGTGCTTGGGGTAAGATCCAGTTTAAATTTTTTATATATCGAAAAACGTTCTTTTTTAAGGAGACAGTAAATACTTAAATAATCATGAAGCATCAATGTTTTCCTTATAATAACTTCTACATTAGTATGTTAAAGCTGCTTCTGAAAAATTCATCAGCATGATATGTATGTACATCTATACAATCTGATTTAATCAACTTAATTTTAGTATTCATAGAATCTTGAAAACTTTTTTGAGTTATTTCTTGGGAATTTTATATCTAATACTCTTACTGCACAAAATTTTCTATTTTAGGAACCCAGAAAAAACAAAATGCAAAGAGGTTTAAAAGACGGTGGATGGTCAGAAAGATGAAAACTTCTAAGAAGTAAAGCTAAATGAAGAATGAGAACTTGTATGTACTTGTATGTATAGTACTTAAGTTACGTGGTTTAGAGGATTAGTTTTTCTGAAAATCTAATAAATCGTTTACAAATGGTTTTGTGAAGCGTCACTGCAAAAATCCGAGATCTTTGGGGGGAAGCCCCCCCACCACATTTCATCCTTCTGGAGTACAATGGTGCCTTGTCTTTGAGGACTACAGTGGAAGAAAATGCAATTTAAAAGGAATTGTTTTCCTTTTTACGAGCATTTATACATTTAATTGAAAGCGCGTCGTGCACCGTAGGAGTGGCGGGGGGGGGGGGGGGTGGAGGAAACAGCTAGGGGTTTTCAGCTGCAGCTCTCAGATGCCTTCATCTTGCAGATGTCTTGGTGCTTTGGTGAGAATCTGTTTCATAGAATAAAGACTAGGAAGAAGTAACTGAAAAAGGGCAGTATCTAAGTATAATAAACATTTCTTCTTAAAGAACACTGAAGCCTCAGTGTATATACAAAATTAACAGTCAACCAAAGGATATGGTTATCTTGGTTACTATACGGACAAGCCACATGCCATATTGAGTTTTTACAAAAACAGGAGATTTCCTGTTTTCTGTCTGCAGCACCCTCAGTGTCAGGTTTGACCCTAATCCAGGGAGGCCGATGCACTGAAGGCAGTCTTAGGTTGTAGAAGTCAAGATTTATAGTAGAAACCATTCATTTTAATTGCTCTGATTTTAATCAGAAGTGTGCAGGTACCTGATATATAAACTCAACTGACACTCTAGTATCTGTAATAGTAAATTTTTAATGGTTGGTTAATTATATCACTACATTTTTATTGCAATATAGTACTCATTTAAGCACTTAAAAATGGAAGGTGTACAAAGATTAAATTAAGACACGGTAAATTGACTAAATATTTGGTTTTTATATAAATAAAGGTCATAACCACACTGTTGACATGTAATACTGTTATAATACAACAGTTAAACTGTGAGTCTACAACAGAAGTCGTCTGTAGTTAAACAGGAAACAAAGTTGAAAAAGACCATGTTAAAACAAAACTACTGGGACTAACAGGTTGAGATTGTAAGTAGCAACAAACGTATTCACTCAGCTCCTGAGTATTTCAAGTTTTACAGTACACATTAAAAATGATTTCTTCCATCAACACTATAAATTCAAACTGTCGGATGTTTATGCGTTTTGCAAGTTACACTGATTGAATGCTTATATGGGAGTGGGGGTCGGAGCATCTCCCAATTTGAAGTTTACATCACCCACATGCTAACACAAACACAACTTGTTCCGTTTCCTTCCCCCCTCTCCCCCAAACAAAGGCGGCAGGATTTTTTTGGTTTCTTTCAGGTAATTGTTTTAAAGGATTTGTGAAGATCAATTTGAACGTCTGAAATTCAGTAATATTTAACTCTTAGACAACTAAGAGGTTAAAGATGGAAAATAATTTCTCCTAACACCAAGTTAGAAAATCATTTGCATCATGCTGTAAACTAGGAAGCAATGTAAAGCGACAAAAACCTGTCCCCAGTACATAATTAAAAAAATCTAAATTTCAAATCAGCAGAGCCGGTCTACTTCCATGTTGACTATACGCCACAATAATACGTGTGAGCTCCTTAAATGCATAGCTAATGTAGGTAGTCTTCAACTGTGGCAAATGCACAGGATCCGATTCCTGATCGAGCCATCAGTCCTAGACATTGTGTGGCCTGTCCCATTGCTAGGGCAAGTGGAGGTTGCTTTGGCAGATTGTGGGTTTCTGAGGAAAAATGATTAAACATGGAAATAGCAATTAGCAAGACATTTTCTAAAAACTTCTCAGTTGGGAAAATACTGCATTACTTTAAAAATTAGCAATGCCTACACTGCTCTTATTGACCTAACTAGTGATGGTAATTTCTGAGCAAATGATTATTGTCGTGGTCATGCTACTCTGACTAGGTAATAGGGGTGGTGGGTATTCTGTTCAGAGAAATTCTTGCAGAATTAAGACTTTAAATTAGATACTAACTATGATGGGAAAGATGTAATCTCTTCCCCGATATTTACAGTGAGGAGTAAGGAATATTTAGTATTTCTCAACTTGACTAAAGTCAGTTGACTTACCAAAAAAAGACACCAGGTTTTCAGTAAAAGTTTCACTGCTGGATTCTTTCCCTTCTGGGGGGAGGACCCAACTGAGGCTAACGGTCCCCAAGGCACACTGGTGAGTGCAAGTTACCTGGGTTTCTAGGAGCTAATGGTGATGGTGGCCATGAGCAATGACAAAAGCAAAACCACCCTCTAATCTTGAAGGGAGTTAATTTATAATCCGGTAGACAAAATATTTTAAAAATTGCCCATTAGTTTTCAGGATCACACATACCCAAAATTTGTCAAATACAGTACAGATGTAGTTAATTACCAAAATTTGTTCTTTGCCAGAGATGAAAAAATGAACTGGTGAAAGTGGCCAACCACCTAGAAGCTGGTGATCTCTCCTTGGGTGGAGATGTCCACATTTTAAGTTTACGTAGGTTCCCAATTAATACAATTACTAATCAGTCCTTTGTAGGAATAGCTGATAACAAAGGGCAAAAACCATGATACTGGCTGGTAAGCCTCCATATGATTGAATTTGATGCTGGATTCCAAGTTTGCAATGTGGTGGGAGAAAGAAAAGATGCAGACGAAATGGAGCCAAAAAGAAAAGAAAAAAAAAAGGGAGGCAAATTCAGGATTTAAGTGTATAAGAGCAAATAGGATCAAGAATGTAAGAATGAAAATATGCAAGAAAAGGCACAAAGATTGGGGAGAAAGTATGGTTTGAAAAGGGGGTCTGTGGGTTAGGATTAATAAGGTCCTGGCTATTATTTGGCAAGACCCTATTTAGCTGAACTTGGATGGTGATAAACATTTTTTGCCAAGTCTAATCGAAGCAGGACAGTTCTGCCTTGAGTCAAGAACAATTTTTTGTACACAAAATCAACGTAATAAAAGGAATAGAAACTGAAAAGGAAACATCTCAAAAATGTCTCTTGATGGTTTATAGGGAAAAGTAACCTTGCTTAAAGGTAAGCATGGTACTCTATTTTGGGGGGGGAGGGTGGGGGGTGGGCACATGTGGTTATAAACATTTTTAAGTTTTTTTTTGGATATAGAACTTGCTTTAATATAACAACTTTAAGCACTAATTAGAGATGAAACTACATAAAATAGCATATTTATAAATACGCACATTCACCCACAGCAATTTACTAATCTTGTCATTATGTAGGAATTGTATCAATATAAATTTAAGTACTATTTATAGCTGAACCTACATACTACATAATATGTAGCACAGTATATAAGAACACACATATCTTGCATAATGGTCCTAAATTTAATATTTAATAATTGAATTCCACACACACACACACACTGGACTATTACTGGCTGCAAAAAAAGAATGAAATCTTGCCATTTGCAACAATGTGGATGGAGCTAGAGTGAAATAAGTCAGAGAAAGATAAGTACTATACAATCTCACTCACATGTGGAATTTAAGAAAAAAACATGAACATACGGGAAGGGGGGAAAAAAGAAGCAAACCATAAGAGAGTCTTAGAGAACAAACAGGGTTGATGGAGGGAAGGTGGGTGGGGGATGGGCATTAAAGAGTACATTTGTGATGAGCACTGGGTGTTATATATGGTCAATCACTGAATTCTACTCCTGAAACCAATGAGACACTATATGTTAACTAACTAGAATTTAAATAAAAATTTGGAGGAAATGAAAATTCTTTCCATGTCTTGAGTGATACCTGTATATGAAGCTTGAATTAAGGCTTCATGATTACCTATCCATGCAGTAATTTCAAAAAGACCATTATAGTAAACCATAATTTGCCCTATTGCTATTAAGTTCTATTTTTACCAGTAGAGCTAAATTAATTTCATAAAACCGAAGAGAATACAACACATTAATCAAAGAAAATTCACATTATTTATTATATATAAATTCTAAATCTAAGGAAATAACACAAAAGATGTTTTTTAAATACATAATTCTTATTCCAAAATCCCCCACTATTATACCTTAACACACAATGAATTAACAGTTGACCCTTGAGAAGCAGGGGTTTGCACTGCACAGGTCCACTTCCACTTCCATGTGGCGTTTTTTTGGACATAGCACAGTACTGCAGACGTATTTTCCCTTACGGTTTTCTTCACATCTTTTCTCTAGATTCATTGTATGAATCCAGTGCATAATGCATATAATAACATACAAGGTACGTGCTAATCAGGTGCTCATGTTACCGGTAAGGTTTCCAGCCAACAGGAGGCTATTAGTAGTTAAGTTCTGGGGGAGTCAAAAGTTACATGCAAATTTTTGACTGTGCGGGGGGGGGGGGGGGAGGGGGCTGGTACCCCAAGGGTCAACTGTAATTAACTTTATAAGAGCAAATAAATGGATTCAGGCTCCACTATGAATACTTGATTCCTTTACATTCTGGCCAGGAGCCCTGGCCCTCTGCATGTCTCCCTAAAATGTTCTCGAAGCTGTTTGTGGCACTGCTCTCATACACCTAAAACAGTTTCAAACATGTTACTAAAAGCCCCACACCTGACAGCCGAGTTGCAAGAAAAGACTTCTAAAGCGGAGTCTCCTTTTACCCGGGGAACCAGATTCTAAAGTCTGGTGAAAAATCACTCTTAACTTATAAATTACATTTTGAAAAGAATTATCGAGAATTTAAAAGATAGTTTTGCCTAAACAACCCTGTAGAGTCAACACGTAAACGCACAGGCTGTTGCAGAGTTCATATACAAGGTATATCCGCTCAGTACATACATGCCCTCAAAAGTCTCCGCAGTGGGTTGCTCCCAGGAAGGGCAACTTGCAGCTTCTCGGCTCACCTCTGGCTCAGCCTCACTACTGAAACCGCGGTTCTTTCTTGCCCACCCTTTATTAGGTGAGGGCATCCGGCTGAACATGCTCAACCGCAACGCGAACATAATGCTACTCCAGGGGTTGGTACTGACGGGGCATGCTCTCCTCACCTGGAAGGCCCTCGTGTCTGCATTTTAAGCACAGTGGGAGCTGCAGTATGTGTGGCCCAGTCCAG